GACATTTCGCAGAATTTCCAATAAGGCTGGCTGTGATTAGAGTGCCATTTAAATATACAAGCCCACTTAGAAATGAGCTTTGTAGGTCGAAAGATCCTACTGGTCCAATAAGGCAGAATAATTTAGTTTGCCAATTCCCTTGCAGTGATTGCGCGATCAAAGTAGTCTACTAGGTTCAGTTCGGTCATGTGAGCACAAAACCTAGCTAGATCAAAATCGGTATATACCTAGTAATATAAAGAATTTAGAAAAATGTTCGGTTATGGGTGTATTACACACAAGCACACCATAGGATGAGACAGGGTGACATTCTTTACAACTAACATAGCGGAGTGGAGGGAGAGAATGACAACTGAATCGTTGTTTATCGAATCAACACCAGATGCATGCGACTGGAACGACTAAGCACCTGTCCCGAATATATTATTATTATTATTATTATTAGTCCCTTGGGTTCCTAGTGGAACATAGGGCTTCAGTAGCACGCCTCCAGTGACCTCTGTTCTCTGAGATCTTTTGAACCTGGTCCCACGACAGCCCAGAAGCTCTCATTTCCTCCTCGCACGACCTCCTCCATGTCACCCTCGGACGTCCAACTCGTCGCTTCCCATGGGGATTCCACTCGAGGGCCTGACGCGTGATGTCCTCCGTCGGCCTTCTCAGTGCATGGCCAATCCATCTCCACTTCTTCCTGCATATTTGTTGCGTGATAGGTTCTTGGTTGGTTCGTTCCCAGAGTTCCTTGTTGCTTATTTTTTCTGGCCATCTGATCTTCAGCAGCGAGCGTAAGCAGTTGTTGATGAATGTCTGTAGTTTATTGGAAATACCTTTCGTGACGCGCCAAGTCTCTGAGCCATACAAGAGCACTGACTTGACGTTGGTGTTGAAAATCCGTATCTTGTTCCGCATGCTGAGTGCAGAAGATCTCCACACTGGTTTCAGGCTAATGAACGCCTGTCTTGCTTTTCCGATTCTGACTTTGACGTCCTCGTCCGTCCCGCCTGTAGTTGAAACAGTGCTTCCTAGATAAGTGAAGGAGGTTACTTCCTTTAAGTTTCTCCCGTTGACAGTGATTGGAGTTTGTTGTTGTTGTTGTTGATGGTGGTGGTGCGGTATCTTCATCACTTCTGTCTTCTCTATATTCACCTGAAGTCCCGTCTTCGCTGCCTCTTCTATCAACTTGTTAGTTTTTGCCTGCAGATCTTCAAGTTTATGTGACATTAGGCATAAGTCATCGGCGAAATCCAAGTCTTCTAGGTTCTTTTCCGTCGTCCAGTGTATCCCCCTCTTCTCGCTGCCTACTGTTTGCTGCATGATCCAGTCCACCACAATCAAGAATATCATGGGGGATAGTAGGCAACCTTGTTTCACTCCTGTCTTCACTTCAAAGGCATCACTGAGCTTCCCATTGTGGATTACTTGGCATGTAGCATCTTCATATAGTTGTTGAATGAGGCGGATAAAGGTTTGCGGTACTCCGTAGTATTGAAGCAGTTTCCAAATTACTTCTCGGTCGACGCTGTCAAAGGCCTTCTCAAAGTCGATGAAGTTGAGGTGGAGAGGTGATTGCCATTCTATGCTCTGTTCTATGATGATACGAAGCGTTGCAATTTGGTCTGCACATGATTTGTACTTCCTGAAGCCTGCCTGTTCCGGTCGTAGTTTTGAATCCAGTGCATCCCTTAGCCTCTCCAGGATGATGCGGCTTAATATTTTACTTGGGGTGGACAGGAGAGTGATTCCGCGCCAGTTCTTGCAAGCACTGAGGTCTCCCTTCTTCGGCAGTTTGACAAGGTAACCCTTCTTCCAATCGTCAGGTACCTTCTCTTCCTTCCACACCTTCTGCAATAGTGGTGTGAGCATGGCCGCTGTTGTCTCTGCATCTGTTTCAGTGCTTCTGGCGGTATTCCATCTGGTCCTGCTGCTTTCCCGCATTTCAGTAGCTTTATGGCGTTCAGGACTTCCATTTTCGTTGGGGGATTAATGTTCACTTGTAGTTCAGCGGCTGCAGGTGGTATTTCTGGACGAAGTGCAGGTGGTGGTCGATTCAAGAGCTTCTTGAAGTGGTCGGCCCATCGTTTCCTCTGTTTCTCTTCTTTTGTAATTAAATTTCCTTCTTCATCTTTTATTGGTTTCATCTGTGTTGGTCTCTTCCCTGATAGCAACCTGGTTATTTGATACAATGTCGTCAGGTCTCTCTTACCTGCAGCCTGTTCTGCTTCACTTGCCAGTGTTTCGTAGAAGTGTCTTTTGTCTTTGCGTGCACTCTTCTTCACTTCTTTGTCCAGTGTTTTATACATTGTGCTCAGTTCCTCTTGTCGTTGAGCATCCTTGCACTGGTTTATCTTCTGCTTCACCATCCTCCTCTCCTCTATCAGCTTCCAGGTATCCGTCGAGATCCATTCCTTGTCTTCCACCTTCTTCCTTCCTAATACTGTTGTGCAGGTTTCTTTCCACATAGCTTTCAAAGACTTCCAGTGTTCTTCCACACAGGTTTCTTCAGGGATGTCCCTCGATGTCTCCCATTTTGTCTTGATGGCTGCCTTGAAGATCTCCTTTGTAGTTTCATCCTTCAGTTTCCGAGTGTTGTACTTGAATTGAGGTCTATCACCAGCTTCCTTGAAGGCTTTTAACTTGATTTGGAAGGTTCCTTGCACTAGGTAGTGGTCTGAACCTACATCTGCTCCTCTTCTTGACCTTGTGTTAAGTAGACTGCGTCTCCATTTTCTTGAGATTGAGATAAAGTCGATTTGATTTTTAGTGTGTCCATCTGGTGAAATCCATGTCGCTTTGTGGATATCTTTGTGCCTGAACACACTGCCTCCAATCACCAAATCGTTGAATGCGCAGAATTCTGCAAACAATTCTCCATTCTCATTCATTTCACCTAGCGCCTCTCGACCCATGGTTAGTTCTCTTCCCGTGTTGTCCCCTCCCAGTTTGGCATTCATGTCGCCCATCAGAATTTTGATATCGCCAACTGACGTCTTGTCCAGTGTTGATTGAAGTTGTCTGTAGAAATCCTCCTTTTTCTCTTGCTCTGCATTATTTGTAGGTGCATAACATTGTATGATTGTGACCTTTCTTCCTTTTGAGTTGAATCTTGCTGTCATGATCCTGGAGGAGATTGGTTCCCACTGCATGAGAGCCTTCGATGCTCTTGAGGACATCATGATAGCCACTCCCTCAGTGTGCTCGTGGTTGGCGTCTGGGTGACCGGAGTAGATTATTGATTCTCCAGTTGACAGTTTGGAGAGTCCACTCCCATTCCATCTGCTTTCGCAAATCCCAAGCACTTCGATGTTATACCTTCTCATCTCCTTTGCAATCTGGGCTGCCTTACTGGGTTCAAACATCGTGCGGACATTCCATGTCCCCACGTTTACTTTCGCTTTCATCGAGAGAAGACACATCGGCCAATTGGCTTCCCGAAGGCTTTCACCAACTGGCGTCATTTCGCCTCTCCGATTCCAGCGGGGAATAAGTTTGTTTTCATTTTTTATATTTTGTTTGTGCTTTGAAGTTTCTTTAGCGGTTAGATTTGTTTTACGGGGTAGGGTTGCTAGCCCTATGCCCAACCTTCCCTCTTTACCCGGGCTTAGGACCGGCTAGTAACTAGTAAACTAGTTAACCAGGCGAGGTTGTCCCGAATATATGGAAAGTCTTATTACCCATGTCACAAAGGGGCGAGAAAATTAGGACTGTACAAAGAATGTCTCAAAGTTGTGTGGTTAACTTGATCTGACTGTGACCAGCAAATTGTATCCGAAACCTAAAGCAGTAAATAATACTGTTCCACTTTTTGTGGTGTATTTTATGGAAAACTTCCTTTCTATCCAGAATACAGTAACCGGATTAGTTATTTCAGCAGTTGCTAGTGTGGCTTTTAAATTCACCCTAAATTACAGAAGTCTTTTTTCCAGATTAGAAAACAATATTTGTCTCACTTTTTCCTTGTTTGCTTGTTATACTTTTAAGACTTTGCAGAGTTCACGAATAAAAAGCAGTATTTTAATTGATACAGCTGCCAAGTCTTTAGAATTGATCGAAGTGTGGATCACGTTTGCAGTGGAGCCAGTAGACTGGATGAATTAAAACTTCAGTGAGCTGTTAGGGTTGTGCGTGTTAGTAGCTGTTCAATATGATGCTATGAACTTACGTTTCATGCTTGTTAGAACCCATCAAGAAGACATACTTGTAACCTTTATTTACCTCTTGTCTCAATGATAATTCAAAGTTGAATCACAAATTTCGTATACAGAGGTTTGCCTATAAACCATTTATATCAAAAACTGGACATCCTAGCAATTGATGAAACAACCAACCACGTTTCTCCATTCTTTGAGAAATTGTTGTCCCAGCCAAAGTTCCACAACCTGATTGGGCTATTTTGTTAGATGTTAGGATTGCCTTTAAAGTCGCCCCAAAACCAACCCGATCTAAGAGTGGAATACACATACGGCTTAGTTACAGCATGTCAGCTGGTGCAGCTGAAGAGGGCTTATCACCAATGTGTACTTTAAAGAAAAGTACAACATTCTTTCTCGTGTAAATAACACGTGTTTAATACTTACAAACGCCATTGGTTGTTTTAGGCTGGACTGATACTATTTGGCAGGAAATGATAGAAAGTAGGAAGAGAGACAGACAAACCTACAGAAACGATAATAGGATACATTATATATAAAAGATAAGGTGAGACAGACACTTCTATACTCAAACGTGCACACGGACAACAAACTCAAACTATAAACACGAAAACCACGTGAACTGTGGCAAATTGGTCAGGATTAACTTTCAAAATGTGACTGCTCATAATGAGAGTTTTTTTCAGACAACCATCCTTTATCTATAACATGGAATATGGATGAACAACTGAGATTACACAGATGTAAAGTGTCCACTGCATTTGATTCTCCCAGTATCTGCTTCATCATTGCAGGTGTATAAGGTAGATTATTAAGGAGTAAACATTTTTTCTGGTCTTACTGTAAGGCAAAATGTTTATCAATCCAGTTTCTCGTTTATTATCTGGGTTTGCACAAGCCATTATCGAGCTTGTAGAAGATGACAATACACCCGTCACCAGTAATGCAAGCATAAACAATCCTACTTATACCAATGCTACGAGTAGCATGAACGCTCATCCCAAGGCAACGTTTTTAAAGGAGGCGACTAATAGGAATTATGCAGGAAATTATAATCCACCAAGTGAACAAAATAAAACAAACTATCCGCTTGCAAAACAGACATACCAAGATTCCCGTTCACCGACTTTTCCAGGACAATGCTTGAGTACTTCATCAATACCGCTAGAGAATTCAATAGGTGACGACATAAAAAGAACTCTGATGAATCATTCGACAACGAATGCTTCAACATTACCCAGTGATCATAATATTGATGCCATAACCAGTACAATCCCTGTCAGTGATGTTGTACACGACAAAAGTGAAGAAAGTTACATCTCAGTTCATGTTGATTCGGAAAGAATTCAAGAAGAACTCAAGTCAACGGATACCGATACGGACTCATGTCTAACAGAACCACAAATATCACCAAACTATTGTCACATTATGGATAAACGATATAGTCTAGATGAATATGAACTGAGAGATGTAGATCCACCTTTACACATGGATTATAATTTCTGTTCAGATGAGAAATCGCAATCACCACCAGAAGACTATTTACAAGAAGAGATGGAGTTATCCCACGCAGGAGGCAAAGAAGTTCAAGGTAACCATGTGAACATGAGCCACGGTGGATTTATTGCTTCAGAAACAGAAAACGTTAAATATAGTTATCACGGTAGGTGGTTACTGAATACAAATAATCGAAGTATATTTTCAGTTACTGAGTATTGCTAGATACTACTGAAAAACAGAAAGTAGCTTTCTGTTTATTGAATTAGATTCTGTACTTACTAGATCTTCTAATCCAGGGCTTGTATGGGATATGAAATATTAAGCTGAACAGCATACATTTATGACGAACTAGCATAACTGAATCATTGATACGAACAGGTAATTGAACGGTTAAGAGCGTCGTGCTCTGATTTTTGTATGTGAGATTTTAAAAAAAATTGGCTACTAGGTTAGATAGAACTGAATTGGATGGAGGAAGTGAACATGAATTTTGAAATGTAAGACTTCAAAATTTTGGTTACATACTTTCCCGTTGACTGTCAATTGACGTAGGGCTTTGGTGCAATACACTTATCTGCCTCAAATTATCTAATGCTGTTAACAATATACTATCCAGAGAACACATTGAACAATCTAATGGACAAACTTTCTACAGTTTTGATTCGACTTATTTTTACAAATGTTCAACAAAACATTTTTAATTTGCTGGTTTATGGGGATTTGTTGATTTCCATTCGGTATTCATCAAGGACTGACATCAGTTAAAGAAACATTGAAAACCTGGGATAATTGGATAGCTGTTTTGTGCCAGTGTACGGCTCCTCAGTGGTGCTCACTCATGTTTCAGGGATGGAACCCAGGAACTTTAGATTGCATAGAGATCATATCGCCACTACGTCAATGAGTAGTAAGAAACCCAGTAGTTTACGTTCTCTTATTTTGACAGTTTGTAGCTTTTAAGGTTTCCTATTTCATTGCATCTAGTCAAACTTATGTCTTGCTCTTGACGAAATCCTAAAAGTGAATGGAATAGCATCAATGCTAACATGGAAATCATTCTATAAATAATACTTTTATTAGGTCTTGTCCAGAAAACACACTTTTCCTATTCAATGCATCAGTTGGGGTAAGAGTGCGATAAAAAATAGCGAGTAAGATGAAGAGTTTTCTTGGTATAGGGAAATGTTTTCTAGCTTTTCGACATTTTGTCCCTCCTTTTCCAAGGGGAAACTTAATACCACTGAAAATCATAAAACTTTTTTCTACCTTAAACTGTCCTATAAATATGTTTCGGGAGTACCTCTGCTTGTGTGACAAGAGAATAGAGTAGTAAACAGTAAGCTTTCACTAAATTTACTTCTACTCCGTGGTTTTCACCACGGACCCACATGAATCAGAGAACTTTGTAAACCTGATAGCAGTGGAAAGCTGTCTTGTTTTAGTCTAAGACTCCTGAACTGTGTGCAACCATGGCCTCACAAAAATATCGAACTCAAATCACTACTACCAAATCACTTCAACGGCCTATCCTTCCCAACTTCTGTCGACTCATGATAAGGCACTATCAGGTTTTTAGGGATTCTTCAGTGCACATCAAACAGTTTCGTGTTTCGTACTCTTAAGTGCTGACCGAACTGCAGTGTGATGTGGTCACCAAGCCAAGAAATTCATCACCATAGTGCACTGGGATAGACGTCAGATGGTTTGAAACAGTCAACTGGAAACTCTGGACATGAATTTTGTGATTGTTCGCACTCGTCAGCGACATCTATCTGCAACGCCTCAGTCTAAATAGCCCAGTGGTAACGTCCCTAACTGCAACACTAGGAGATGGAGTGTTGAGATTTTGAGAGGCTATCAGTTCGTTCAGGATCGAAGATAAACCTTGGAGACGAATGCCAATAAGCATGTCAATTATCTCCAGACGCCTAACATCGACATATTGATTACATGGACTAGCCACACTTCACCTAGGTCACCATTCAGCCATCTGGCTGGAATCAAATATCTCACACTTTTCTAATACTACTGATTTGAGATATAGTCCAACTGCCACCCAGTGTCATCAACATGTGTACTTGTCAGTCGATCAAATTTACTATGTGATAGCTAAACTTGGAGAAAACAATATTGTGATGCTAGACATTAGTAGCGAATTAATCAGGGACTCTGGATCAATACCTAAGGCACAATAACCATTTCTGTCAGTTAACTGTGACCAGCCCATGCACACTAAATATTTCACAGACTTATGATTTGAGCCAATCTTATGTGGAATATCAGTTCTTTTACCCTCTCCTACAGCTAAAAATAATCTTAAAATGTTTATTTTTTCTAAATAAAGATATATTACAGGCGCTTGTTTATTAAGCAATCGAAAGTCATTTACTAGTAGGGTTTCCAACAATATCTTTATTCATCATTTCCTGGGAAAATAAGCCCTTCTGAAACTATCAGTTCATGATGCAAAATGAAAGAGAGAAATGAAAAGGAAGTATAAATGCCTAATTACTATCGTCAGTGAAGATATGCGATTTTGACAAAGCATTCCTTTGAGTTCGTTTCCTTATCTGGTTTCAACTTTCATTGTTATATTGTCAAAAAAATAAGCATAATCATTGAATTAATTAATAAATACAATTAGATTTCAGGCTTGAGAACGGATATATATTTAATAATCATTTTGACTATCTGTCATAGCCAGGGGTTCGGCAGAGTAGTACTGATACTGGGTGATGATTGAACATGAGAGGAAACTTCCGGCCGGGCGTTCTACCAACTGAGTTAAGAGAACCAACTCTTGACCAAATTCAATAACCAAAAGTTTTGCCAGAATGCCACATGAATTCGTCATATTATCTCAGATAGTCAAATTGATAATCAAAAAGATGCTCTTCGTCCTTAATTCAAGTAGATTTGGATTGGGTCGAGAAGTCCTACCAAGCGGGAGGAGCGCATCATGAATTCACATGGCAGTTGGCCAAAACCTCTGGTGATTTATGTGAAATAACAACCTGGTCAACAGTTTTGGCTCTCGTAACTCAACTGGTAACACACTAGGCCGGAAACCCAGTGGTGGCAGGTCCGAATTCTTCTCCGAATTTCCACTTCACCTTCAATCACTGCCCACTATTAATATTTAACTGAATACAGTCTCTGAGTTGTGTTCTCCGGAAACACTGACCACTCACTGTTGCTGCTGGCTATTTTTCCTCTTTTTTTCTGAAAAAAACTATTATTATGATCAGTAACTTATGTAGATTTTTAGTTTACTATGACTGTTTTTCACTTTTATTTTTCTAAGCAAAATATTTTAACTCAATTTCAGAAAATGGAGTGTTGTTGACTATAAGGGAATTGAAGTTGCTTAAATTTGACAAAATTTATGTTTTATTAGTTCGTGTCATTTTACTCGGGCATGATGTATTTCATAGATAGACAGTTACATTTTCCCTAGTTACACCTTAATTGATTGGGTTGACTTAATTTTAGGGAGTATGTGTTCAACTTGTTAGTTATTAGTAATCAAAGAGAATTCGATAAGGACTAAGAATCCGTGTATAGTTTGAATTATTATTACAGCAAATGATTTACTTTTTATAGAATCTATTATGAGTGTAACCTAACTCTGATTATGAACAACATTGGTTTCAGTCTCAAAGGTGTAGTGAATACTAACCGGGTATGGAAGCCACCCTAAAAACTAATGAAATACTCAATTAGGTTCGTTTACTCTGATGAAACAACTACCTTACCAGTGGAAATGAGGAAACATGAGTTGGTTATTACAATGACTGACAGAATAGCCTTTACAGACACTTGTCGGTATCCTGGGGATTTCAGTTTGTTTCCTGCCGATAATCTTTCGTAAGCGCAGGATGCATGCCTTTAGTTTGTTTTTGGGAAATTGACATTATTTAAGGCAAAACTAAAACTATACTCGTCGCATAAGAAATGGCTATCGTGGCTCGGTGGTCTAGTGGTTAACGCTTTGCAGTTTGACGCGATCGGTCCCAAGATCGAATCCCGGTGAGGATAACATCACTCACTGAGAGGCAGGTAAATCCAGCTGATGAGTCCCAAGTAGGACGAAATGTGCATACTGGATTCCAGTGCTAGCTACTACCCACCATTACTAAAAGTAAAACTAACTGTCATATTACTTACCCTAATAATATAAGAGGACTTTTATCTGTCAAGGAATTCAGTTACACCTTCTAAAGAATTCGACTCTTCGTATTTACCTAAAGTTGGATGTAGAAATCTTAGGTGTCGTCACTGTCATGTCACTAAGGCACATACAAACTTGATTGATGGACTTTAATCAATGTGAGCTAGAAAAAATCGACAGTTATATAGATCACATTCTAGTCACCGGCTCGTATGCATGTAGATTTGTTGGCTACGTGCTAGCTACTCAGTTCCCTGTAAAATCTGAAAATTTGACACTGTACCAATTAATCAAATGTTTGCTTCTTCTATCTTATTGTATACAGTTGATCATGAAAAGGATTAGATGCGAGAAACTGGACAGTGACACATATTCAGACTTCTCCACAAAGTTCTCGTTGGCTAAAGCAGTGCTGCCCTCTTATTACAATTTTGTTCTTTTAAATGAATGACAACTCACAGTGCCGATAGTAAGGTGTAATGAATATGAAAGTGTAGTTGACTTTTTTATCTTACGGGGGTGCATTTAACAAGAATATACTGATTATAGTGAGCACAAAAGCCCTAGGAACAATGAATCTCAGAATAGATTCTTTCACATGTCGTTGGTTTGATTTTGATGATGAGCACTGGGGTATTTAAGGAAGAGTCTCAGAAACTTGTCAGATGATTGAACTTGCAGCGTTACTGGCTGGTGCTTTAAGCAATACCCAAACTTCTTGAATTCTAGTATGCTGTCCTGGACGTTCAAACGACGATAATCTTTTTTTAAATGTGTGGTATGGTTCCTTAAGTGAGCCGAAATGAATGATATGGTTAGCAAAAGATCATCTTGATTACAAAACTGAACAGGTAACCATCTTCTGTAGGCGGTTCGAGTGACTGACAAAATCAACGTAGAACCTGGCACATGAATGTTTCAGTTAAAGTCTCCACACTTCATAGTAGTATGCAAAGGACAGATAGATAGCGAAGAAAAGACATCAAAGTAGATAAAATTTTGGGAAAGGAGAACAAACAGTCTGAAAGTAAGGGTTAGTGGAAATATTCGA